CAGGTCCCAGCAGGTATCTGCAGGTTTCTCACAGGGTCACAGCCCCCTTTAGGTGTCCCCCTACTCCATTGTGGGGTCCTCCCGAGGCTGCAGGTGGGTACCTGCTCCACCATGGGCCTCCATGGACTGCAGCCTGCCTCACCATGGGCTGCACCATGGGCTGGCTGCAGGGGAATCTCTGCTCTGGCACCTGAAACACCTCCCACTCTCCTTCACTGACCTTGGCGTCTGCAGAACTCTTTCTCTCACATGTTCTCACTCCTCTTACTGGCTGTTGCCATGCAGTAGTTTTTATTCCCTTTTTACCTAATCCTAGAAGTGCTACCATTGTTGCTGGGCTCAACCTTGGCCAGCATCGGGTCTATCTTAAAGCCAGTTGGCATTGGCTCTCTTGGAGACAGGGGAAGCTACTGGCAGCTTCTTACAGAAACCACTCCTGTACCTCCCCTGCTACCAAAACCTTGCCAAGCATACATTTGGGGAGAACCATTCTTCCAAATGGGATTGCATTTTCTGTGTTTCATGCAAATGAATCTTAATTTTTGTCATTTTCCACTTTATTTCCCATGTTTGATGCTTTAAAAGGGATGCTCCTGGGTGAAAATTGTCATCCAGAGCCTGAAGTATTAATTTCAAGATTGGATTCTCCCTAAGTATAAAATTAAAAACTCTTAAAGGAGTAAAAACTTTACAAAGTTTGAATAACCCAGCACTTCAAAAGGGAGGAGAATGAGAGGATAAGAGAGAAAAGTAGCAATTCCTTTAAGAGTCAAGATGGAAAATGTAGTAAACATGTAGTAGACTTGAATATAAACCACAAGCCTTTGAATTAAGTAGTGATTATACCAGTCCTGGACCCAAAGTTTTCTCTGTGGATGTAATCTTCTGTGTTATTTGGGGTCTGCTGGAGCCTGTCAGGAGGATGGGCTGAAATGTGTCAGTTGTCACAGAACAGAGTTTGAATTCTTCTGGGGACAGCCAGTGCATTTGTGAAGGTTTTATGCGGACAGAGGCTTGTGGTGGAGGGTGAGGAGGGCTGCAGGTAGTGGGAAGCAAAGGGAATCACAAATTCAATTTGCCTGTCAGCCTTGGAAAGGATTATATTGAATGTTGGTGAGAGAAAGGTCAGGAGTGAGGTAAAAGGCAGAAAGAAAGGATCTAAACAGCCTAAAGCAAGTAAGGATAAGTAGTATGGAAGTTGTTAGTACCAGTACCTAATGATCTAATAGTTGTTTGATGCTTATAGTCTTAAAATTGTGGTGTTATCAAGCTCTAGTGTGCTGCTTGTAATTGCTTTGATGCACGTCACATCTGCTTCAGGTTCTTAGCCCTCCCTACTCTCAGCTGAAAAAATTAAACCCCACCTCTGAGCAGCCAGCAAAGATGCAATTTGGGTACCTAATGGCAGTAGATTCCTTGACAGTTAAGTGACTGAGCGGATGTCTTTCCTGAAAAGAAGAAAAAGTAGCGTGGTAATGACTGTAAAAGAAGGAAATGCTTACCAAACTATTTAGTCTTTTTACAAAGCTGTGAAGGCAGGCAGAAGAATGGATAGGGATATCCCCAGAGCATGTTCACTCATACTGTACAACTGCTTTCTGTACAGAGATGCTTTTTCTCACTGAAGTGAGCAAAAGAGGTGAAGTTTAAGTGAGATTTGCTACAGCCAGTATTACTGGGTAAGAATATCTTGACTTTGTATAGGAATTGCCTTAGTCATGAGAACTGAGAGAACATTCAGATGGATTTTGAATATATTTCTGGGATAACTTGAACCTTCTAACCCAAAATGGCAAAGAGCCATTGGGTCACACAGGTTTGACAAGGTTGAAAATGTGTAAATCAGAAAAAGGGTATGGTTTTTTATGTGAGAAAGGAGACTCAGTTATTGCCTAGAAAGAAATGTTAATATTGTGTAATAGAGCTCCTCTAACTTGGAAACAGGTATGTATTTTGCCTTCAAGACAATATGAAAAGAATGACTGTAACAGAACAACTAGGAAAGGGAGAGAAAGAACCAAATTAATTGCTAACACTTTTTACTGGTAAGCAAATCTGGTTATTTCTTATGAACCACAGCTGAAGAAGAATTTAGAGAATGACAGCTATAAAGAGGTTGGGGAACATGATTGAAACTCCAAATATCTGGTCCGCTCACAAGACGGTAATACTTCCACAGCTACTTACCTTCATGTAAAAGAAGGGAGTTAGTCTTATGGTGAACAACAGTTGTGCAAGGGTGTGGATTTCATTGTGGAAATAGCTGAAAAAAAAAAATGATGATCAGCCTTGAGCAAGTCATTGCCAGATAATTCTTAGATGCTAAATTAATAAAAGTAATTCCCAGCTAAATTAATAAAATTGTAGCCTAGGCAAGTCTCAACTTCTCTATGGCTTATTTTGTCCTACATAGTTAGAAAAATAAGTGCTGTTAATGGAATTAAAAAAAAGAGAAAGGGCATTCTTTTTCACAGTTATGCAGTTCACAGGCAAATGGGTAATAGTTGAGTTTGCAGCATTCTAAAAAAGGTGTTAATTGAAGAATTCCAACTGACAGAACGTGAGAACATAGGTTTTCAATGCTGCGAGACAAAAAATGAGAGCACTATAAAGAATGGATAACTCTAACCTTTGAGATTTCTTTTATAGTGAAATAGGATGAAGAGAAATTGCTGTGTTGCATTGAACCAATGTTGACTTAAAACAGCTGTCCATCTGGCGAGTACAGTATTAGCTGGAAAGGGGAAGGAAGGAAGGAATTCCATCTTGAATTTCCTGTTTTGATTTAGACAAATGACTGTGAAAGAAACATTTTTGAGGAAAGCCTTGAAAACAAGTTTTTTAGTTGTTTTCTTTTTTGTTTGTTTGTTTGTTTTGTTTTTTTTTTTTATCCTTACAAGTTACCAGAAGATTTGTTGACTCTACTCAAATTGCTGCATTAGGTGTTCCCCCAGGTATAACAGTCAGGATGTAGATTTTGTACACACCCCTATAAAAAGCTGTATCCCATCAGTACAAGCTGGCAAATTGCCCCACCACTACAGCTGTCTGGTTATAAAACAAAATACCTCTTTCTGAAGAATATGAGCTATTCATATATTCAATGTATTCAATAGTGCTATAAAGATTTTTTTTAAACTCAACTACCATGTTCCAGTGAACTACATTAAGTACATTAAGGCTTTCTGTCCTGCTTGTGGAGCATTAACATCCATTCCAAGTAATAGTATGCCTAGTGAATCAGTAAAGTGTTCCATAATGGCTTTTAGTAATAAGCTTATTATTTTTAGTATTTAGCTTTAGCAGATACAGTGTGTCCAGAATACTGGATATAGCTGACTATTTTCTCAAATGAAGAATGAATAAAGCTGGAATCCTTAACTTGTGACTAATCCTAGGTAATCATTGCTGTGATATTTTGATACATAATTGAATTTAAATTTGATATTATATCTGCTTCCAGTGAACTTGATTGTTTGCAGAAGAAATAAAAACTACACTTTCCCTAAATAGCACATGCAGAGCTGTATGTAGAAGGTCTAGAATTTTGCTGTTTACTGTATGAAACCAAATGCTTTAAAGGACTTAAACAATGAAAGATTGCTAGATCTTGATACCTTAAAAGTATGGGAAAAATTTGCTGATCCTTAAAATTAGTTTTCTTTTGATGCATTTTGCAGAACATGTAGTCCAAAAAGTGTCTTCTTGTAATGCCTAAAGAAACTATTAACTTTTGTCATACATATAGAAGGCAAATTGTGCTCTCCAGGACCTATGGAAAACTTAAGAGTTCATTGTGTGATAGGGTTAATTTGTATCTATGAGCATGGCCACTGTCATTTTAGGAATGATGTCTGGGTCCATGAGCACTTTTTAGGGATATCATTAAACTCACTTAGGGTGACATTTAAGCAAAGATCAAAGACCAGATATTGTTATGTGGACACCTTCTTTTAATGAATGGCATTCATTGTGTAGCATACATGGAAGGTTTTCTGCAGAACTAGGCGGACCTGAAAAGTTTTTCATAAAACAGATTCTGCAAAATATGAATATGCTGTGTTCTCTATGCTCATATGCAGATCTAAGAGTAAGGAATTAGGCATTTCTGTACTCCATTCCTTATAGTTTTTTTCCTTTTTCTTACAGCTTAGCAGCTGGCAAAATATTTTTGAGGCAGAGATATATAGAGCTATCCTCTGGTAGGGTATGCAGACAAAACCTAACATATGGAGAGTGTTTGCATAATGTACAATATCTGTGATAAGAACGTAGCTATTTAGGTTTTCTTGCATAACTTGAGCATTACATATAACAAGGGAAGTTGCTAGGTGGTTAATATTAGTTTCTGTATTTTGAGTTCTGATGTATTAGGAACAATATTCTACCTACTATAGCAGTTCTTTCTTGAGTGAGCATATCCTAGGTTTCTGTTGCTTCTTTTTTACATATCTATTAAGTAAAGTTGGGCCTAGTGGGTATTTACATAGTTATGTATGCTAAAGAATTTATGCATAATTTGGCTGTTATCTTGGAATAAATATTCTATCTGCATGTGCATTCACAAAAGCACTAGGAAACTTCACGTGTAGTTTTTAACAGGTAGTGTGTATATAATCTGGATTTTGCTTTAAAAACCTGAAATGTCATGCATTTTGACAATCACCATATAGTCTTGTATTTAGCAAAACCAAAATGGAGGACAGTTTGTGCACACAAAAAATTCCTGCATAGAGCTGAATGCTTCTTGCTTCAAAATGCAGATAAGTCTTTTAATGTTAAAGTTTGTAGTAAAATTAAAGTTATAATAAATAATACAACTGTATAGAATGTAGTAATTATATTATGCTGTATTTCTTTTCTGTGGAAAATATGTGCACAAAATTAATGGATCCAATTAAAATGGAACGTTGGTGCCATGAGAGTTAATAAGAACTAGAAGATGACTCAGAGTAGAATAACTTACTAAACCATTTGTGTGTGTGTGTGTATTAAACTAGCTATACTCATTATGTGGTTGGCAGTGGAATCAAAGCTCAGTCTTCAAATCCAGAAGTAAAAGTGAATGGAACAGATCCTGTAATAAGTCAAATTATTGACAAGCTGAAACATGTTATTCAGGTAAGCTGTTTATACCTATGGATGTAGTACAGTACTGAAGACTCTGGTGGTGATAGTATTAATTTACTGTATGTTAAAGATTAATTATTAATTCAAGTTATTGCTCAGTGCATCTCAACAGCAAAACACTATTTGCTCTCTGTCCCACTTCAGTTATTAAAAATTATTTAGTTAAAAGATTTGCATATGGTAGTTAAGTGTAGGAAGTCAGACTCTGGCAGCTGAGCTGTCTGTACCTGAGTACCACAGCTCAGCATTGCAGTAAGTGTACAGAACCACAAACAGTATAATTTGGGATACTAACTGGGTGCATATGTTTGAAAAAAAACAAAACCAAACAAAACCACTCCTTCCCTGGAGACATTCAAAACGCGCCTGGACACATTCCTGTGTAACATTATCTAGGTGTTCCTGCTCCGGCAGGGGGATTGGACTAGATGATCTTTCGAGGTCCCTTCCAATCTCTAGCATACTGTGATACTGTGATACTGTGTGAAAGCATAATTTCCCTCTTCCCTCTTTGCTAAATTTAGGTTTTTTTCTTAAGTCATCCTGCTGCAAGGTTTTTTGTTTAGATGTAAAGACAGAAAACCTAAGAAGTTTGAACAAGAGTAGCATGCTTGCTAAAGGAGTTAGTGTTCATTACCTGATGCACATATTTGTGAGTTACTAAATTTAAGGCTTATAAGGCAGTCAATTCCAATACAGTTCTGCACAACCATAGTATTGTATTGCATTTAAAGGAGTACAAAAATCTTTTGTTACATGAGGTATCTATGTGCACAGATAGCCAGAACTACAGGACAAAAACCTTATTCTGTTGAAACCAACAGTTATTTTGATGACAACTCTGTATTTCAGTTTTAAAATGTAAGTTTCCACTCTGATTTGAAGACTCAGTGATAAGAAATGTTCTACTGACATTTCTCATCAGCGACCCATGTAACCCAGTATCCTCTCATCTGCACTGGTAAAAGGAGAGGCTAGCTAGGGAAGGTATGCAAGCCTGGCACCTCTATGATCTCTGCTACCCTTCTCTAGCTCATTCCCTAAACACAAGAATTAGCAATATCAGACAGCTCTTTCTTCCCTAGTGCATTTAGTTCCATTTAAGGAATTGCTTTTTGTTTCTATATTCTTGGCAGCTTTTAAATACAATTTTCCAAATGGATTCTGGAATTAAAATATTAATGACAGGTTCACAATAAACTCTCTTGGTTCTTATTTTTCTACTTGAGAAAAATAACTCTTCTCTGACAACAAATAAAAGATTGATGAAATAGAAAAAAAAACAACAGAAAAATTTATTTTCTGTCAGTAGTGTTGTTTTCTGGGAGAAGTGATATCCAGATTGAAGCTTAAAGGCAATCATTATTCTTTTCTCCTTAAAAGAAATGTCTTTTGTAGCCCTCCAGCTTTTGTCTCTTTCTTTATTAAAACAGTGACTACAATGGTAAGAAAATGAATACATTTTTCCCTCCAAAGAGATGCTATGACTTAATTAAGAGCTATGAACTTACTGTGCAAAGAAAAACATTTCAGATTGGTAAGTCTCAAGGTCTTTCATCTATCAGGAGTGCCCTCCTTCTTTGATATTAAATCTGCACTGTATAGTTTGTTGTGCTGTTTTCCTCTAGGGACTAGGAGTTGTGTTATTTCCTCTTCAAGTGAGTATCTGAAAGAGTGGAATAGAGCAATTCCATTATAAGGTATTTCATTTTCAGAGCTTATTTGCCCATGTCCCAGAAGACTTGAGTGGGTCTTGGGGAGAAAGACTTATAATTTACATACTGGAAGTCTTACTATCCTCCAAGTATTTTTAACTTTCGATTGGATAATCTCCTTTCTTGCAGCTCTGAGTATGGAAATAAGGTCAGGGGATAAATAGAACATCAAATTCCTTAGAGACCTGACATATAACTGCTATTCCTCAGATAAAGGGGCTGAAGAAACTGCAGAAAAATCTTTCTTCTCTACCATTTACTGCTTGAGAAAAGAGGATGGGGAGTGTAAATTATAGATTCAAATACAAAAGATCACCTTTTTGTCCCGTATGATATGAAAAGGATGAATCACATTAAGCTTATGATAGATTAAATAAGGGGATCTTAATGGATTGTGGTGTTGCCTCAGAGATAGATGAAGTCATACTTAAGTCAAGCATACTTTAGTCTAGTCCTATAGGAGGACTAATTTGAAGAGGATGACCAGCTTTGCATTCAGAATACATAATTTAGGTCAGATTGAAAAATATACCCTGATTACATTCTGTCCTTCTAGACCAGAAACTGTAAGTCTCTCTAGTAAATCTGGGGTAGAAAAATTCTATTAGAAAGCTTTATTGTTTTCTGAAACCTTCTTTTTACTCTTTGTCACCAAAGCAGACAACCCGTTTTCTCACCAATTACTCTAAATTTCCCTTTTTACTTTCAAGAATCCCAGCACAACAGCAAGTAGGAAGTGAATATTCTGAGATATAAAGGGGGACCCCATTTAAGGGGGAGGCCAGTAAGATTTAAGAAAATATGACTCTGCATATTTATTGTAAAAATTACCAAATATTATCAAATAGCAAAAGAAGAAAGATGTCTTAAAAATCTCTTCCTGCTCATCTTTAATGTGTACATAAGAAAAACAGCAGAAAAGATGTGTCCTGGTATCTCCTCTTTTCTTGCAAGGTAGATATATGAGCACATAAAAATTCCAAGCAAAGAATTGGCTTTAAAATATGTAAACGTACAATACTTAAACATACTCTTTTTTCTAGGTTCTATTCTATTGAAAACTTTAAAACACTGAAATAAAACTGGTTGCATAAGTGATATTATCTTCCCAGCAGGCTGTGGTGTCCGTGCACTTCTCCGTTGTGACAGGCTCACAGTAATTGTCCTCCTTTTTCTGTAAATAGTGGATTTACCAAAAATCAATAGAACTTTTGGATTCCATTGGACCCTGACTGCTATAATCTGTACTCTGGACTCCACAGGTTGGTATTCACAGCAACAAACTGCAATCAGAGTAACTTACATGAACTCTGCTGAACCAGTCACAGCTGAAAATGGCTTGACAATGTCACCTTATTTTGTAAAAATGTGTATTTGTACAGTCTGGTGTTTTGGAGAGTTTTAAATGATGGGCTCTTCTTCATTCATTTGTCTTCATGGTAGGCAAATAATGGGTTCAGTGCATATCCTCTTATGTACTGCAATCTGCAGCTATCGCTGTAGTAGGCAATCATGATACGCAGTCAGTTGCATATGGCAGCAATAATAGTGGTAATTATTTTTCTTTCTTCCCCTGTAATTTCAAACCATGATTCGTCTTTTCTGCAAGTACAAACACTGAGGTTATGAAGTAAATATGATATTTCAGTGCTGTGATTACAGGCGATTGGACCTTTGGTCATTTCTGTGTATTTCTTCTTTCAGAAGACAATCATCTCAAAAAGATACTGCTTTCGAAAATAACAGACATTACTTGGAGCTTATATTTACAGATGAAATATAGACTTCCTAATTTTAGGAAGTCATTCCACAGTAGAAAATATCTGGGTGTCTTGTCTGTATAAATTAGGTAGACCAAATCTCCCTCTGGAGATCTTCAGAGTCACCAGCCACTCTATTGACTGTACTGGAAATTTATGCTTATATTAGGATAAATAGTTTCCTATCTCTAGCAGAAGATGTGCCCAACTTTATTTGGAAGGGATCACATCTTACATGCTGTACCACCAAACTCTTAGCTGATATATGTGAAATAATATTTGCATTCTACACAAAGGGTTGAAAACTGTCACTAGTGGGAGGGATGCCTACATCCTTTAAGTGAATAGAAGCCACTACTTCATAAGACTTTAAATGTAGGTGACAGTCTAATTTTTCCTTTCCATGTCATTATTATGGCATGGTAAGCACTGTGTGTCACCATGCTATCATTAGTCCATTTACTTAGCTCAAAAAGTTTACAAAAATGGTGATACTGATTTGGCATGCTAATAACTAAGCATTCTAGGTGTTTTTAAAAGCTTTTATCAATGTGCCATGGCACAGGCAAAGTAGTAAGTGTTTTAGAACAGAAGAGCTGTTCTAGTACATATTGGTAATGGTGATGGAATACATTACCTGAGTCTTCATCTGCACATACAAAGAACCATGGCTTTAAATTATTCATATGCAAGATGTGGCACTTGCAGTTGTGTTTCCCTTTGATCACTGAAATCAAGTTTGTGCCTTCTTTAGTGTTATGATAATAATAGTTAAAATCCCTCTGCCTTTTAGAATAGCTCAAACTCCTGTATAAATTTAAGGAATTATACATTCTGATGACTCTGTTGATGACTGCAATGCAATTCTTTCTCATGAAATGAGATAATTCTCGAGGGTACATCATTTGAGCCTTAAATACTTAGGGCCTTGTTTTAATACACTTTTCAGTAACATGCTCTTGAAGGCTTACTTTCCAAATATTTTCCCTCCTTTCTCTTCTTCTTTCCTTTTTTTTTTTTTTAATATATATGTATGTTGAATCCTGCACTTTGCATGGTTCAGTACTAGATACCTCATAGAGGTAATTGGGAAGTTAAATTTCAGTGCAGGTTGTGCAAGAGCCATTCAGCATTCCCTGGAGTTAGAATTGCTTTCAGCTGTGTTTAATCTTAAACCACCTGTTTATTATTTTTTTACAATAGGAAAGACTGCCTCCCAAGTTTAGTTTTGGTTTTCATATTACAAATGCATATCTAAATGTTAATTTTGCCGTAGAATTTGGTTTTACTACCCTTTTCATTTTTAGGTTCTTCCAAAGTTAGAACAATCATGCAGGTACAGAATAGCTCTGTATTTTGACTTCTTTCTCGAGTGATTTGTTGGCTCTCCCTTTCATATGTGATGTGTTGCCTCCTTCTTTTTTTTCCTTTCTGGGATTAATACAATGTCACTGTCTTTTTAAATTCAAACCCTTGGACAAATTCCATCTTTGACTTGGCAAGACAGCTGAGTACT